TAGTGTCCTCAGGTCGCTTCTAAACGATAGTACTTTTGTGCATTGGAGAAGGGGGGGTATGGGTTAGGTTGGTGGGATTGGAGAGAGGGAGGTCCTTGCCCGTTGTGCCACAGTTCTGTGCCCAGTGTGCTGTAGGAAACAAGGAATTGGCAGTGTGGTGTTTATCAAGATGAGCACTATCTCAGAGTGTCACCCACCATGACCCTGGCTTTGTGGTGCCTGTATTTACAGACTCCCCCATCCAAGGTGAAATTGAGCCCTGACAGAAACCACTGCTAAGTTGGGATCCCAGCTGCTGCTACAAGTGACATTTGAAAGGCCAGTTGACGTGCACATTTGTCAGCCACAGGCAGGGATGGTGGTTAAGCCTGGCCAAGGGGCAAGTTGAAAATGGAAGAATGAAATACTGACACCTGGCAGGCTACTTGGGACGGACTTGGTTGGCTTTGAGGGTGTGTGTGTGTGTGTGTGTGTGTGTGTGTGTGTTTTGTTGAGACCTGATTCTGTGAGCTGCATGCCTCTCCTCCAGTGGTCCTCTTTCTCTCTAGTAGAGAGGGACAGTCACCTGATGGCTGAACATGCAGCTTGGGATGGCTGCCCCAGGAAGTGCCTGTTCTCAGTAGCGTCACGGCCATTTATGCAGAAATTGTGAAGCTACACTTTCTGGAAGAAATGAGAAGTAGTTTGGTTAGTCATTGAGAGCCTCTGACCTTCCACAGTGTAAATGCCACTGAGCAGTGGTCTGAGGCTTTGTTTTCTTAAGTTCTGTCAGTGACCTTTGAAGTTGCTCTCACAGATCTGATAGGTCACAATAAGATGGCAGCTACGGCATTTCCACGTGAAGGGGGCTTTGGTTTCCTTTGGTTAGCATGGCCATGTGGCATGTACAAGTCTGGCAGTCCCACGTGTCGGCGGACTGTGGAGCCTCTGGGACCTTGCTGGTGGATCTGCATAGTGCACAGCCACATTGGAGAATCATTTGGCAATGTCCATAAAATTAAATACAGTATATACTCTGACATCCAGCAGTTCTAGTCAGAGGAAACTCTTAACATGTGTTCCGAGAGGCATGCGAGAATGTTCATGGTAGCGTTGTTTAGAAAAGTTGGGAACAAATGCCCACTGGCAGGAGAGCGGCTAAATAAAGCTGGTACTGTGGGACACGTGCATGCCACGGCACTGAGGATGGAAGCACATATCTGCTTTGGCAGGGCTCACGGTCAGACCTGCTGTTGAGTGAAAACACAAGAACATGAGAGTATTTATAATATGCTACTATGTAGGCAAAGTTCACAGACATATGTTAAGCTATATTTAGAGATAAAAACTGTCACAAAAAGTGAGGGGTGATAAGCACAAAAGTCAGAACCGTGGTACTGCTGTTGGTTTTACTGGGGCGTAACCCAGCCTTAAGTCGAAGAGCATCTGGATATGTATGTATGAAGTCTTCCAAAATTTTGTTTTAATTTCAGTTCTAGAAAATCTCAAAAGACACACATATACCGAATCTGCAGTGTAACCCTGAGGGAATAGTCGGGATAATATGAGGGGTTGGCGAGGCCCACCTGACGCACTGCAGTAGTGTGAGCACCTCTCAGGCGTTGCACCCTGCCCCAGATGACTGATGCGCGTGAGGGACGAGAGAAGAGGGGCGGCAGAGTGTGTACGTGCAGGGCAGGGGGGTGCTGTGTGAAGATTACCCTGGGAGAGCTGCCTCCTGCTGCTCCCTTCCACCCTGCTGTCATTGGTCATTATAGTGCTTTTATCAGCTCTCATAGGCACAGTCTGGATGGCCTTGCAAGTAACCTGTAACCTGTGTTGCTGACCCGTTGTTTCACGGAAGAGGCGACAAGCAGCCTCCAAGTCAAAATGTGTCCTGGTTCATGCTATCCTCGATTTCCAGAGTTGAGGAGGGAGGTTGGTGTCATTAAAGAACCTGCCTTCTCCACATGGTGTGCCACATCACGTGCTCAAACTGGCTATTTTGAGGCTGTTACATGCTTTGAGGAGAGATTTATTGGTAGATCCAGCACTTTCTTTAAATGCTGATGTTGAGTCCCAGCTATGCCCCAAGACAGTTTTGGGCTGTAGCTGGCAGAGCAGAGGGAGTGCTGTGATACACTCTGGGTTCAGTGTGCTCTCAGGTGGAGATGCCCTTAGTTGGCCCTGGGTCATGATCAGCACCAGCCCTGCACGTGCAGGAGGAACCTGAGAGGTATTTTGGGGCTCTCCACACCTTGCTTGCCTACCCTAGTTCCACCCTTGGTTGTGATGGCAGAGATGTGAATCTGGCAAGCCCCTCAGCCGCATGCCTGCCCATACAGCATCTTGGGGTAGCCAGCTGGAGGGGGCGGAAGTTGACTCACCCAGCCCATGTCTCTGAAGATCTTTGACCACCAAAGAAACTGCGCATCCTGCCTAGACTTCCCCATTTGTGTCTGCTTTTTTTTGCCCTGCGTTCAGTCTTACTTGCCAGGGTTGAAGTGGATTAGCGCATTGCTCTAACATCCCATCTGGTTTAGGAACCTGCCTGGAGAGGGATGTGCTTTGACTTTGAGGGCTGCCGAGGCCAGACATCAGGAGTGCGATGAGGGCAGCTCAGAAGGAGGCACAGAGAGGGAAGCAGATGAACAGGCTAAGGCTGATGGAGACCTCTGGTCAGGGCTGAAGGGAGAGGCCCGTGCGTCAAGTGTTCGGGGTGGCAGGATAGCCTGAGCAGATCAGCAGGCAGCTGGCAAATAAGGACTCAGAGCTTGATGAGCCTTGCTACCCCCTGCACCCTGTAGTTGGGTTAGCTCCCTGCATCAGTAGGCCTGTGCCTGCACTTGGGTAAGTACCTTTTTGCACTGTCCACAGGCAGCCTCTCATTTAATCTGCATCACACTAGACATCTCAGGAACAGTGTTATCAGTGCCATTTTCCAGATAAGGAAACTTAGGTGACTGAATTATTTTAACCTAAGCAGTGTGACTACAAAGCTCACCCTCTTAACCACCACATGAATGATTAGACCAGTCATGTCATTTTCAAGCGTAAAGAAGGAAGTATAAACTGTATAGAGGCTCCACCCTGCTTGGGTGGGGAAGGAGAAGCGGCAGGGCTGAGGGGAGTTGGAGAAATCACACCTCAGTTTACCTACTTTGAATCCCAGGAATGACTGCGGCTTCCTGTAGCTCTGGCCAGCGGACAGACAGCTGTGAATCCCTTTTTGGTTTGACTGCACGTGTAAATGAAGGTCAGGCCCTGGCTTTTCTTTTGGGTCAGTGGGCTCCTAGATAACTTGCAAATAGTTTGTCTGATCCTGCCTGCCACCTGGGAGGTCTTTGACAAAGGAATTGAACTTTGGCGCTGTTAAGTCAGTGTGCAACAATAATAGACAGCGACAGGCTTATATGTCATATATTTGGAAGTGTTTTTTAGTATTGATAGAAAAATTGAAAGAGTGCTTTTTATTTTAAAACTACAAGTACTTATGTTTTTATTGCCTAGGATCATATTCTGTTCCCTTCTCAATCAACTGCAAGTATTATGAATTTCTGATGTTACGAAAAGGAGCATTTCTTTTCATGGGGTGTGCTTGTTTTAAATTTTATTTTTAGTTTCAGGTGTAGAATGTCATGGTTAGACAGTCACATACTTTACAGTCATGGAGTATTTTTTGATTGGCTGACTCACTGAGTGAAGTTTACCAACCGTCTTCTATGTTAGCCCTGGGGGCGCAGGTGTGAGCAAGGCAAGCACAGTCCTCAGCGAGTTTGCATTCTTGTGAGGACACACACATAAATCACTTAATAAGGTTGTTCAGACACTGGAAAACTCTATGATAAATGGTGAGATGAAGGAATATCCAAAATCATTTGGATGTTTGTGGGGTTTTTTTAAAAGAGCTGCATTGAGATATAATTCACATATACAGTTGATCATTTAAATTGTAGGATTCAGCGTATTTTTTTAATGTTTGTTTTTATTTTAATCCTCACCTGAGGATATTTTTTCCATTGCTTTTCAGAGAGAGAGTGGGAGGGGGGGGGAGAGAGACATCGATTGTCGCCTCCCGCTCATGCACCGACTGGGGCCCGGGATCAGGGATCAAGCTGCAACTGAGATACATGCCCTTGCTGGCATCGAACCTGGGACCCTTCAGTCTGCGGGCCGACGCTCTAACCACTGAGCAAGCAGGCCAGGGTGTAAATGGAAGCTTTTAAATTTTCATTTTGGAATGTTCATTGCTACTGTATAGAAATGCATTTGATTTTCGTATATTGATCTTAAATCCTGTGACCTTACTGAATTTGTTTATTAATACTAATAGTTTTTTAGTGGATTCTTGGTATCTTCCATATACAAGATCACATCATCTCCAAATAGAGATAGCCTTGTATCTTCCTTCTTAACCTGGGTGGCCTTTATTGGGATACTGGAGTACAACATCCAGTAGGAATGGTGAAGACAGACACCCGGTCTTGTTTCTGATATCAGGAGAAACCATCAGTCTTTCACTATGCCCCAGAGGGTTTTGAGCACATTAATTGTATTTCAGCCTCCACTGTCAACCCTGAGGCCTTGCCCCTGTCACTTGTTGCAGCTGCTGAACCAAAAAATGAGGGAAGAGGTTGATTCGAAAGGGCCTTCCTCTCTAGTTCATTCAGCCCACACTTCTCTAAGTTGGGTTTGGTGTTCATTCTCCTCGCCCAGTTCCCTTGGCTTTGGTTAGAATATCATACAAACTCTATAAGGACACTTGGGAATATTTGCCAGTTTTTTCCCATACTTATTTTGACTGACTTTGACTTCCACAATTCTGAACAACCTAACCTAGAGACGGAAATTGCAAGAATTGAAACATGCAACCAGAAATGTTTTAAGGAACCCATATTTCCTTTTCTTTGTAACTCTGAACAGCCAGGGGAAAGATTTATGTTGGGACGATGCTCACTTCCACGAAAGGCATGTGAAGTTCCCACTCTGCCTCTAACAGTCAGCACCCTCTTTGTTTTCAGACTCCCAGCGTTCTCACCTCTCCTCCTTCACCATGAAGCTGATGGACAAATTCCACTCACCCAAAATCAAGAGAACACCATCCAAGAAGGGAAAACCAGCTGACATGTCTGTGAAGATTCTAGAGAAGCCTGTAAACAAAGTAAGCTGATTCTAGGTGTTTGTCCTGCTTTGAGCAGTAAGAGTGTGTGGTTTTTGCGGGTTCATTCCCTGGGGATTGAGCGCTCAGTACAAACACCTGTTCCATAGTATTCCATGTTGCAGGCGCGGCCTCCCGCACTCTTGTGTAGTGTGAGCCTATAGCGTGGTGAGTGTTGCTCATTAATCAGCCAAGCTCAGTTGGCTAGAGCAGTTCTCCTTTTCCAGATGTGCCCTCTTCTGGGCCTTAAAACAGCTCAGTGCATCATGTTCACACCCAAGATGCTGCCTCCCTGCCCCAGAGAGCCCCACACCCCCCGGGCACACGCACACATACGGGGAGGTTTGTGATGTCCAGAGCGTCCATTCTCTGAGACATGCAAAGTCCTTGAAACCCAGCCAAAGATGTCCTCAAGCACTAAAAGCTTAATAGGGCCAGTCAAGCCAGATGTGTTGAAATAGCTGTTGATTTTCATCAACCCCTTTCTTCAGCCTAAAATGGCCATTTCAAGCTCTGTAGGAATCCAGGTTTCCTCTCTTCCAGGAGGCAACAGACAGATTTCTACCAGAGGGCTACCCTATCCCCTTGGATCTGGAGCAGCAGGCAGTAGAATTTATGTCCACCAGTGCTGTGGCTTCCAGGTCTCAAAGGCAGAAGGTCAGTGTGATGTTAAGAACATTGGGTTTGCCTTGCCTTCTACTGCAGAATCCTGGCCCATGGTTTTGGGGATGGAAAAACATCTATTACAATATCATTGTGTTCAGTTGGGTGGCAACTGTGGGCTTAATTGTTCAGGAAACCGTCCAAGGGGCCTTGGGTAAAAATAAGTTTATCCAAGCCCCCGTGTCTTTGGAGAAAGCACAGTACTCCATGGCGAAAGCTTGGAGGTCCCTTCTGGGGTTGGTTTGGGTGTGCTGCTTGGGTCTAATGGGTTCTGGGGGAAGTGACTGAGTGTCATCAGTCAAGTTTAGCTGTTCTTTCCTTGAGTTGCTAAGATGGTCTGAATAGCTGAAGAAGGGAAGGGCATCTGAAGTATAAGGTGCTGTCAGACTGTGGTGAGATAGCCACAGGCCCAAGTGCTTGCAGAGCGAGGGCCGCTTGGGCCACTGGCACTGATCAAGCCTTGCCTTAGCCCCGTGCGCAGTGTTCTACGTGTATTCTCTTACTTAACCTTCATAACAACACTGGGGGGTGGAGACTTATTTTGCAGAAAAGGAAACTGAGGCTGTAGAGATATTAAAGGTTTGGCCAGAGGCACACAGAGAAAGGTGGCAAAGCTGAGATTTGAACAAGGTTGTCTGACATCTGAGTCAGAACTCTTGTGGTGATACAGTTCCTCTTTATGGAAGCCAGAGTTTATTTTTTAATATCTCCCAAATCTAAATGTTAACCCCACTTGTAACTAAACATAAAAACAAAATTAAACTTAGTAATGTGAAATCAAAACAAACCTGTGGACAAATAGTCCTTAATCCCCTATTGGTTACCCAGAGCCTTGTTTGTAGGAGAGCTGCTGTCAACCATCATCAGTTTAAGGCCACTGGCAAGCACACCCTGCTATGTAGACACAGCATCCTGGAATTTGCAGTGCACCTATTTTTGTTTTTATGTTCACCAGCAAAATACCTTAAAATCCTAGTTAGAAGTGGAGGAAATCAGGGTTTTAAATCTAAAAGTCTTGTTGACAAATCCCTTTTTCTGCCCCATCTGTTAACAACAGGAGGCTGAAGAGTAAGCGTGAAATGTTCAATGTTTGCCAGATTGACCCAAATTCCAGACTGAAGAAGAGTAGTAAGGCAGAGGATTTGGTCTGCACTGCAGTCATTTTTTATGATGATCTGTTTAGCAGCCTCTTGGAGCTGAGTTTCTTATTAAAGTCCAGACAGAGTGTCAGTGTCATCTAGCACTGGTCCGGGCAGCACAGAGTAAAATGATTTACTCACAGCCGTGTTCAGCTAGTGAGCTGTGATAGGAAACTCTTTCAGTCACTCAGCCTTGGACATCCCTCCCCTTTCTTCATTACTCCAAGAGAGGTCATGGGGGAAGATTGGACGCTAAAGTGTCCTTTACTTTGGGCGCTTCCTATAAACTCCAGGGCACATTGGGCAATGTTTGGAGACATGTTTGGTTGTCACAACTAGGAAGGCGAAGCAGGAGCTACTGGATCTGGTGGGAAGAGGCCAGGGATGCTGGTAAACATCCCACAATGCACAGCACAGCCCCCCCCACTCCCAGACAAAGAATCTTCCTCCACAGAATGTCAGTGGTGCACAGCCGAGAAACCCTGTTCTGTAGTGGGGAGCTGTGGGCGTGATCTGTGCCGCAGGAAGAATGTTGCCCAACTTTTGATTGTCGCCCTTTAAGAAGGGCCGAGTACTATGCTCTGCCCAAGTCACCTGCTTGAGACAGAGTGAGTACAAACGTGTTGTGTAGTACAGGCCCACAGACAGGACTGGACGTGTTGGGGAGGCCGCCAGTGTGTGTGAACTTGGGAGACTGGCGGAGAAATCTTATAAGTCTGTCCTTCACTATTATCGTTACTTATTTATTACTTACTAGCTCTCTTATTACTTAGGGGGTATTTCCATGTACATTGTCGTGTTACCCCAGTTTATATGCATGGCTCTCCTGTTTAAACCCATGGGAAACTGCAGTTCGGGGTCGATGCACAGGCTCAGATTCATCTGCAGCTGCCCGGCGGTCTCTCTGTGCCCAGGCCTGTCCTGGATGATTTCACGTGCCGTCTTGTTGACTCCTCACCATGACCATGTGCAAAAGCTTTTATTATTCCTAATATATAGAGAGTTGGGGCTCTGGCCCAAGTTTTTTTCATCAAAACTTGTTTTCCCCTTAAATGTTATGAAAAACTTCCATGTGCATGCCCCACATCAACCTCTTCGATCCCCAGGGCAGGAATTATTCGCCCTCTTGTGCAGATGAGCCTGAAGCCCACNATTCGGTCCCCACATCAACCTCTTCGATCCCCAGGGCAGGAATTATTCGCCCTCTTGTGCAGATGAGCCTGAAGCCCACTGGCCCCCAAGCCCAGTGGTGGCTTCGGATCTAGGCCCTTCCCAGCATTGCTGCCCTCATGTAGTTCCCAGGTTTGTTGGGAGATGGTGGTACGTGCTCCCCACAGCAGTGGGTGCACAAGAGGATGTGTCTGCATCTCAGAGGCTCCGGGCTGGGCAGCTTCAGCAAAGCCAAGGCCTCGGGGTCCTGCTTCTAGGGAGTGCTCGCCTGGAGTCCCATTGAAACTCTCTGACTGACTGCTGGCTGCTTTTTGCAAGAAGCCAGTAAGTAGCTGAAGGGCTAGCGGAATGCACAGTGCTCAGAGGCCTGTGATTCCGGGAGTGGAAAGTGCCAGGGAGCTAATGGATGAAACCTGACTCTGTTAAGCTGTCACTCCTTGATTAGGAGTCCAGGCTCTTTGGTGGCTCATTTGATCTCTACAAAGGACAGGAAAGTTCTCTTTGTGCTCTGAAGTGCTTTGCTTCTTTTGGATGGCTCCCTTCCAGGTCAGCCCCTCTCTCCTCAGCAAACCTGATAACACATTGTCTTAAAGTATCTCCTGCCTCCTCCTCACATTTGATCATGGCTGGCTCCTCACACATCCTGATCTACTGAGATAGCAGTGCTGTGGTCACAGTCCTCTAGCCAGGCTGGCCGGCCATGGTTCTAGTCACATATGATGTCCGCAGATACCTTGATTCCTTCACACTCAGGCTCCTCCCGGCCCTGGGTGAGTGACAGTGAAGCAGACAGCTCTTGTCCATGAGGTGGAAAAACAAGTACCTGGCCTGTGGGAAACAAATATGTCAGAAGTAAAAAGAGAGAAGTGAACGGATGCCGGAGAGGCACGGTGATAGGACTGGGGGTGCTCCCTCTCCCCTTGGAGAATTCTGCCGTTTCCACAGAATACCTTTGGGGAAGTGCCCGTCGAGAGAAATTAAGTCGGGCCTTTGAAAGTTGTCTGACTAAAGACCCTATTTACTTCTTGATCCAGTTTATAATTTTCTTTTGCTATTTCCATGAAATGAATGCCTCCACTATAGAATTTTTTAATTTAAAGTGCATTCTCCATTTTAGAAGAAAAGAGCTAGTGTCAGTCATAATCACTTTTTATTATATATTATTTACTTATATGTTTACAGATTACTGTTGAAATCAACTTTTTCTAGAAATTATCCTCTTGCCCACAGTTGCTTTTATTTCTAATTCCCTGGACTTCAGAGAGGCCACAGGTGGCGGTTCCTCATTCACCCCACTCTCCATTTGCACTGGATGTGTCATCGATTTTGCTTGAGTGGATTACCGTTTGGGGATTTGTCCATTTTATAGGTTATCCTTGATTTCCCTTTTCCTGCCAGACAGCTGGGCCTTGATCACTGACATTAGGGCCAGTCTAGAGAAAGGAACTAGGGGGTGCGTACCCACTGACTGTGGACTGCAGGTACCCACAGTCAGGAGAAAGGATCGGGCATGGGACTCTGACTCCCGGCAGGCCCAGGGCTCTGTCTTCTCTTCTCTTAGGTGGACTTTCCTCAGGAGCAGGAGCAGTGGGGCCAGAAATGCCTCCAGCACTCCATGCTCAAGCAGCAATGGAATCATGGCCGTCTGCTCTGTTTCTTCACCTCCCCACCCCGAGCGTCTGCCCCCCCTCACCCAGAACATCTCCCCTTCCTCACCTGGGGTCCCCAGGTCCTTTGGGAGGGCCTGTCACTTCTTTGAGAGGGGCTGCGTCTTTGGGTTGAGTGTAGGAATGGAGTGAGGAGTCCTGGGAGAACGGTTGTGAGCCCAGTGCCTCTGACCGGCCTTACACAGTCCCTGGTGTCTTTGAAAGGCCTGGGTCTCTTCGTTTGGTTTACTGGATAGATACGTACCATGGGACTTAGCTGTCAGTTCTCTAAGCTTCCTGCAGCCATCAGCAAATTAGTCCTCACTACATTTAATGAGATTAGTGATGCTGTCTCAGTGGGAGAGGAGGGGACCCCCGGCCACATCAGTCTCCGTTCCAGGAGGGAACGTGGGAGTCTCCACGGCCTGCCTGGGCCCAAGTCCCCTTCTTCCTCCCAGCCTGGCCTCTATAGCCTGATGCTGTCCTTGGAACGTTAATTTTGCTTGGCTGCTGCAGCAAGAAGCCTTTTCCATTCGCATCAATCTCAAGATAGTTGATAGGAAAGTTTATTTTATTTTTTCAAAATAGCTCCCTTTAATCTCTCTCCTCCCTCCTTATGCTTAACATTTCCTTTCAGAACCTGAGCTGGCTGGAAGAGAAAGAGAAGGAGGTTGTCAGTGCCTTGCGCTACTTTAAGACCATTGTGGATAAAATGGCCATTGATAAGAAGGTCTTGGAGATGCTTCCAGGGTCGGCCAGCAAGGTGCTGGAGGCCATCTTACCGCTGGTGCAGAGTGACCCTCGCATTCAGCACAGGTGAGTTGCTCTGAAGTCCCTGGCTGTGTCCCAGCAATGGAGGCCTAGAGGCTTCTTGGTTTGGGGGCATTTCAAATTCAAGGTTTCTAGGAACAGTGAAGAAGGTCAGGGGGGAAAGGAGCCCTCTCCCCGCCCCCATGGATATCCCTTGATCTCTCCCGAGGTTGAGACAATTGTCACTCAGGAGACCTCTTGCTGGGGAAGAGCTCTGCCATCACTGGGAACATATAGTCCCTGTGCAAGTCTGTGGTCGTTCCCTGGCATTAGCTCACTGGTAATAATCATGTGAATTTGGACACATTTCTCCTGCACCCTAGGTTAACCATAGTGTGTTATGACATGAAATCCTGTCAACATCCGGCCTGTTAGAGACCTCGGCTGCTTAGGTGATTAGGACAAAAGAGGCAGAGAAGAGCCTCATCAGAGCACGATTAGCAAAACGTTGAGCTGTGTCAGCTAGGAGCTCCCAAATGGCACTGCAGTCACTGGGAGCCAGGTGTGGGAGTTGAAACAGTCTGGTCCCAGGAAGCCTGTGTGGGGTGATGCTTTTATTGCTAGAGTGCATTTCCCTCTGCGGGGTTAGCCAGCAGCTTGACCCCATATTTGTTGTGAGCACAGAAAGAAAAGCCATAGTAAATGTAATCTTAAGTGAAAGGCCAGCAGGAGCTTTTCTTGAGAGGCTGTCGGATGTCTGCTGCTGTGCTTTTCTTTCTGGTACCTGTTCAGAGGAGTGTATCTGTCTCAGTTCCTCGAGATGGTGCAGTGTGCACGGAGCCCCACGAGGCTGTGCTCTCATGAACTGCTCCCAGAACCTGGGAAGGAGTGCAGTTTCCTTTCTCTGAGGGGCAAAGCTAACAACGTATTTTCAAGAAGCTCTGTGTCCTGGGCTTCCACCTGGAGTGTCCGCTGGCCCTTAGATTGTGGTCTTTTGGACAGAAGCTCACTGAAGCTAGCCGCAGGGGTAGATACAATGTTCGTACAGATTTGCCCTGCAACTGTACTCACTTTCTGTGCCATGCTCCTGTCATATAGGAAAAGCCTCAGAGGAAGTGACTCCCCCCAGTGCCCTGCCCAGTGCTTGTGTACTGGTCTTAAGAGCCCTGATACCAAGCTCTGTGCTTTTTTTTTTTAATTTTTTTTTTTTTAAATATATCTTTATTGATTTCAGAGGGAGGAAAGGAGAGGGAGAGAGAGAGATAGAAACATCAATGATGAGAGAGTTATTGATCGAGCCCACAACCCGGGCATGTGCCCTGACCTGGAATCGAACCCTGATCGCCTGGATCCAAGTTCCATGCTCAACCGCTGAGCCACGCCTGGCCGGGTGCTCTGTGCTTTCTGATAGTGAGCCAGTGCCCAGCTCCAAGAAGGGCCCAGTCTGCCCTCCTCTGGGAATGGGGCTAGCATGATGCTGCAGTTGGAAGTGTGGGTGGCTTTTTATAGCACGCTCTCATGTACCTCCTCTCGTGTGATGCTCCCTACTGTGGAAGGGTTAAAATCTGGTTGAAAAAATAAACTCCCTCACCTATGATAAAGTGCGTATTGTACAGCCCAAGTAGAAGCTCTGTTAGAATTTGAAGGAGGGAGGGTTGCCGTGGTCCCATTAAATTTCCTGGAGGAGGAGGTCCTGGAGCCCGACCTGAAGGAAGGGTAGGAATTGGGTTGGCAGTGGGGGAGTGGGGGCAGGTGAACGAGAAGAGCAAAGGACCTGGGGCCAGCGGCCAAGTGTACTCCCGGGTGGGAGACTCGGCAGTCACTAAGCAGAATGACCCTGCTGGGGCTTCTCCCTGGGGAACAGTGGGAGCCGAGGGTGAGTCACATCATGCTGTATGGTCAGGTCCAGGACAGTTACCTTAGCTAATCCTGTAACTTACGGTGCTGACAGTGTTGCCTCTAGGATTGCTGCTTGCTGGAGTGTTAGCCAGCACCTCTGCATGAGAAATTACTGTCTAGACACGCAAGCCCTGGAAGAATCAGGCACTATGGTGATGATTTGGGGTATTTTTTGTCCATGGGGAGGTTTTATAATTATTTTATAGTTTATAATTTATTTAACGTCCACAGCAGTTCCCTGGAGGGGAAAGGAGGAATGCCTGGCTGTGGCCATAAGGGATGGGATTTTCCCGGTAGTCCTTTGGCTATTACTGTGTAAGGAGCTTCCTCCTGAAGTTCTTCTGGAGGATCAGTGTTTTTACTGCTCTCCCTGAGGTGACTGAGAATGCTTTCTCAGATGCTGCTTTTAGATTCCTCTATTGTCTCGTTCTTCCCAGTGCAGTTTATATGCTGAGGAGGAGTTTTCCTCCCTCTGCTCAGAGCCTCCTCTGTGGGCTGGCTCTTCCCTCTGTCCCCTAAGTTCCCAGGATGGTGGGGGGCCAACCTTTGAACAGGCAGCTGGCTGTCGGGTGTGAGTGCAGGATGGAGGGTTCCCCTGCACAGTGGAACCTGAGGCCTCGGAACAGGATCATGCTCGCCTGCCATGGAGAGGGCTTTGCTCCATTTCAAAAACAGGCAAGCTACTGGTCCACTGGACTGCATTTCCTTTCTTAATGTCTTAGCCCTTCACACAGGGATCTCTGCTTCCCTGCTACTGTGCAGGGGGGACACAGTTGCCAGCTCTTTAGGTGCTTTCGGGAAATGTTACCTTTCCAGGCAGAGGGAAATCAAGTATTATATTGCAGTGTCCCCCTCCCCCTTTTCACCCATGTACTGCCAGTAGGGGGGCCCTGGTGGAGTCCCAGGACACAGCGGTGGCAGGCGGCAGTCTGTTTAGAGACTCAGCTGGCCTGCCCGGAAGTCCCTCCCCTCCCCTCCCCGCTCCAGTGAGCCAGCCCAGGAAGGACTGTTTCACCCTCTCATCCCCTTTCCTAAGAGAGTTGGTCCAACACCAGATACCTTTCATTCGTGTTACCCTCGAAGCTGCCAGGCTGGCTTTCTTGGGCTCCTTGGTAGACTTGTAGTTCCTGATGGGCTGCGGGAGTCGGCCCGCGCTCCGTCTGGCTGCTGTTCTCCTGCTGGAACACGCACAGAGGAGTGACTGGAGCCGCAGCAATCCCAGGCCTGGCAACGGCTCCCTCTTCACCTGGCTCGGAAGAGCTTCGCATTACAGCGGTGTGTGCTTCAGGTTTTTATTTAAATGGCTTTGTTTTTTGAACCTGTTTTAATCATATCTGACAACATCATTTTTTTTTTTTTCCCCTCAAAATTTTTTTTTTTGCTCCTAAACATCTACCTTATTTTTTCTTTTTTGTTTTGTTTTGTTTTTAACTTTTTGAGAAGAGGGGACAGCCCACAAATTTTCTATATTCTTGCTTTTCTGTTGTTATATGTAATATTTAAAGTGGAAAAATAGCCCAGCCAGGCGTGGCTCAGCGGTTGAGCATCAACCTAGGATCCAGGTGATTGGGATTTGATTCCCAGTCAGGGCAAATGCCCAGGTTGCAGGCTCGATCCCCAGTCAGGGGCATGCAGGAGGCAGCCGATCAATGACTCTCTCATCATTGATGTTTCTATCTATCTCTCTCCTTTCCTTTCTCTAAAATCAATAAAGATACATTTAAAAAAATAAAGTGGAAAAATAGCCCAGCCGGTGTGGCTCAGTGGTGAGCGTTGACCATGAACCTGGAGGTTGAGGCTCGATCCCCAGTCAGGGCACAGGCCCAGCTGCAGGCTCAACCCCCAGTAGGGGGCGTGCAGGAGGCAGCCCATCTAGGCTCTCTCATTGCTGTTTCTATCTCACTCTCCCTCTTCCTTTCTCTCTAAAATCAATAAAAACATATTTAAAAAAGAAAAATAATATTTTCCATAATTCTTAGGGGAAATTATCGTCAGTTATTTTTTAAAATATGTGGAAGGTGTAGAAATTCTTTACTTTGCCCTCCACTCTACAGTTGTTGAGGCAGACAAAGTCTTGGGGCTTCTGTCCCCCGCAGGTCCCCTCACCTCAGATTTGTCTTTTTTGAAATAGCCTTTGCAAGCTGTTCCTCTGCCATCGCAGCCATGGTGGTGCAGGGGAACTCTAGTCAGTCGTAGATCTGCTTTCACTCATGTTTAAAGGCTGTTTCTCTAAAGGGTTCTGCCTGTTCAAGTCCCACAAACCTTTGGGATCCTTGTGACACACCCGACCTGAAGTTCAGTCTAATTCCAGACAAGGCAGCAGACGGGTGTGGCGCCTTGACCGGCAGCTCCGAGTGGGGGAGGCAGGGCTCTCCTAGAGGGGCATTGTCTGAATCTTGTGGAGGATGTGAAGGTTGAAAAAGCATGTTAACGATCGCGAAGGACTTTTTATGTTATATTTGGGAAATGAAAATATATATAGCAGACTAGACTCTAACACTCCACACAGTTTTTGTTGGCTGGAGGAGATGGGTTCAGGGAGGAAAAGTTTGTCAAGGGAGGTGTGGATTGTACACTGAGAAACAGGTTCAGTGCTAAGAGCTGTCTTACAGGGATCTCATGCTTTAGATTTTTCATATTTTTAAAATACCTTCTCTTCCCTCTAGCTCAGCCCTCTCATCCTGCTATAGCCGAGTGTACCAAAGTCTCGCCAACCTCATTCGCTGGTCTGACCAAGTGATGCTAGAAGGTGTGAACTCAGAAGATAAAGAGATGGTGACAACGGTGAAGGGGGTCATCAAGGCTGTGCTGGATGGAGTGAAGGTATGCAGGCGTGAGGTGGTCCTGGTCAGGGACTTGGAGCAGCCTCCTGCTGGGTGTTCATCACAGAAGAACTCATTCCAAAGCCTCGTGGGTTAGAGTGGCTGTCTCCCAGGTCCCTGGTGTCGGTGTGCTCTGGTAGCTGTGTCATTCTCTCGTACAAGTGGCTCTTCCAGCAGTACAAGCCCTTGGAGTACTTACCTCCATAGTCGGAAAAGCTGCCAGAGCCGTCAGCCTTCACTAAGCATTGTATTAAATCCAGCGAGTCCTTATGGTAAAGCTGTGGCTGAGCGTGCTTGCCAGCCAGACAAAAATGCAACGGGAAGGGCTTCGCATTGACTTGTAGCAGGACTCCCAGCATGTCAACTGCTACCTTTTCACATTCTAAAAACTTCTGGGATCCTTGGTAGAAAAGCAGGATAGAGATGAGTAAGAAATGAAACTGTCTGCATTTGAAGTCCATGTTGTGGTCTATGAATCTACTTCTCAGGAAAGTCAGATACAGCGTCATAGGACATTTTGAATCCTAGTGAAGGCCATAGGGGTCTGGAATTATTGAGAAAATACGTCCTAGTAGACGAGGAAGGAAGAATGTAGTAGGGTGAGGGCCTGTAGGTCAGGACTAGGGCTGTGCGCAGTGGGAGTGGAGACCCTGCTGTTATGTGAGGCCGTATAATGTAGTGGAAAGAGGGCTGGCCTTGCGGCCCGGTGAGGTTTGAATCCCAGGTTCACCACTTACTAGTCTATGGACTTGAGCAGTTTACTCAAGTGTTGACACCTTAGTCAACTCGCCTGTAAATTGGGTATGACAGTGGCACCGTGTATCGTAGTGTTGTAGGAGGGTTACATTAGTTAATGTGCGCAAAGCTCTTGGGCGTTGCCTGCCACATATTCAGCACCCAGACCTCAGCTACTGCTGATTAAGTAAGTGCACGATGTATGCCTGAGCAGGTCTCTTGGCTTGGAAAACGCTGTGTCTTCCTTACTAGGCCTTTCAGCCCAAAATTACAGCTGAGGTACTTAAACCAGGTCCGACAGGATCCCTTCCCCACTCGGCCATGCCGTCAGGGTTCTGAAGGCAACCTGTTGGGTTAACATTCCGCAGAAGCTCTGGATAGTACAGTGAGGACCCCCAGCGGGTAAAAACTTCAGGGGGAAGGCTAAGAAGGCATTGCTTAAACCAATTGCTCCAGCATGAACTGAGGTAGTGGAGGAAGACGGTGCCCCCCACCTCTGGCACTGTGCAGGACTGCTCTGTCTGCTGGGGACTTCATGGAGCTCACTTAGAGGGAGTCTTAACTAGATTACATCAAAGTTACTTATGATAGCTCCCAGGTTTTCTTCATTTCCAAAAATTATTAGATCCTACATTATATGTTTGGCCAGTGAGACTCAAGGGTGCAGCCAGGGTGGCTGCTATGTGAGACCTTCCGTCACACTCCAGATTCTGGAGCTCGGTCACATGTATCATCCCATCCATCTTCCCAGCAGCCCCCTGAAGCCAGCAGGGCACAGTGAGACCTGACCTGGGTCACACTCCTCAGCGGAGTTCAGAGTTCTGGCTCACACACCCCTGTCCTTCCTGCCCAGGCTTCTGGAAATGCTGTTACTGAAAATTATTATTTTTCAGGTGACATTGTTAAGGTTTCCTTCTTCCAAATTGATTATGATGAAATGTTCAAAACAAGTCAGAACGTCCAAAATAGAGAGTTTCATTGTGACATTCTCTTTTGTGGAATCACTGAAACACCACTGTATTGGTTGATAGAACAATTTCTCTGATTTTTCATATTGACCTGGATGAGAGGGAGGGAGGGGTACTTTTCAGTGTCTGAAAGCAAATAACTTCTCCACAGTTGTTTAAAAATATTTTAGCCAGAACAGATATTCTCTAGGTGAGGGGCTCTGTAAGTTCAGTTTTGTTTCATTTATCCAAGAAACATTTATCACGAACCCCCTGTGTGCCAGGTAGTGTGATAGAGTTGGGACTATAGTGACAAGCAAAACCCAGAGTCCCTGACCTGACGGAGCTTACAATCTAAAGGGGGAAAGAACAGCAAACAAACACTTGCAGTTCTGTCATTCTAACCAGGACTGGTGCTGTAGGAAGAAATGGCCTGTGGTGGTACCTGGGTGTACAGATGAGCTTCATTTTTCAGGATGGTCAGAGACACTTCCCCCAGGAAGAGACAGACAGACTAAAAGCCTGCAACATGAGCAGGAATTGGCCTTTGTTGCTGGAAGCTTTTTGTAGTTAAGTGTCAGTAAAGGCAGCAGGGACCATCGAGACTATAATGTTGACATTCATCGCTAAGGTCTAATAGTAACAGAGCTAACACTTACTACCCACTCCTGCTCATAATGACTCTCCAAAGTAGTCACTATCGCCCCTTCACGGGGGTGGAAACTGAGACTCAGGCAGACCAGCCGTCAGTGGCAGGGTCGAGATTCACACACAGGCCAACTGGACCCCAAACCCTGTGCACTCACCTTCACCCTCAGCCACCCCACAGGAGGGAGGGCCATGGTCAGCCCGAGAGATTCACGCACTCCCTCCTCCAAGTCAGCTGGCTGCCAGCCTCTCTCGAGGTCCCCTTCAGACTTAGGACTCCTTTCATAAGCCCATGTCCTAGTTTTGTGCCTGCTTCAGTGGGCTGGGAGGCGTGGGACTGCCGGAAATAGAGTACCTTCGTGAGGATGTGCCCTGCCCCTGAGAGGAGAGATGGCACCTTCCTTTAGACTGACTCACCATCTTTCCCGTAACTCATTCAGTTAAATGGAATTTTTTTGAAGGGTTGAAGTGTTTTAAAAACAGGATTACTTTGCTTTTGTCCCTGAATGGGTAGTGCCATTTATTATTTAACCTCCCCACAAACACCACTTGTTAGCCCTGTAACCTTGGGCAAGTTACTTCTCTGAGTTTCAAGTCTGTTTTTAAGTGTTTATCCTGAAGATTTGAAGAGAGATTCAGATAACATATATAAAGTACCTGGTAAGTGGTAGGTGCCCAGCAGACGGTGGGTAAGTCCTGTTAACTGTAGAAAAGTTCATTTCTAGAACAGCTCACGTTTACCAGCTTCACAGGTTGTGGCTCTTTTCCACAGTTTCTTAAATCCCAGGTTATAGTAAAAGATAAACCTGTTATCATCTCATCTGCCCCAGGCAGTGATACCTGTGGCAGCCTGAGGCTCAGAGATGATAGTGACTCTCCCAGGAAGGAATTTAAAGGGCTTCACTTTCCCATTTCTCTAGGAACCCCTCTAGGACACACACCCCAGTTGGGGCCTGGCTGCTGTGGGACAGACCTCCTCGAGGTCAAACAGATACCCCAGATTGTCCTTTTGAAACCAGCACCCCAGCTCTTCCTAACTTTACCATTTAAATGTCAGCTTTTCTTCTGATCTCAGATGTACAACTTCATACCCATTGCCCTGGGCTCTCTGCCCTATCCTCCTCACAGACTTTCAGGAGTCGCCTCCTCAGGCCTGAGCCTCTTTCTCTGGCCTCCAGCACCTCCCTTCACACGCTCATTTTTCTTTCTTTTTAAAGCCTCATACTGACAACCTTGGGGCAAACTTCGGAGTATCTGCAGTTCTATCACTACCCAAAATTGGGCTGTGTACCAGATTTACTTGTAGAACAGGAATATTTAGAAAGAAATGCTCTCCTGACTGAATCAGTTAGGATTAGGTTTGACTGCAAGAAAATCTAAAATATACTGGCTTTTGAAATAATTTTATTTTTCTTTCATATCTCAGAAGCCCAGAGATAGGCCATTGTGGCTAATATGATGACAGTTTCACAAAACAGTCAGGGCATGGTCTTCTCCCCTTGCCTTCCTGCCACTCTTAGCACATGGATTCCACCTCATGGTCTGTAATGGCTGCTTCATCTCACCCATTAGGACTGCATTCCAGCCAGCAAGGAGAGAGAGAGGGGAGGTTGTGCCCTCTCCATTTAAGGGTGCTTCCTCACAGGCCTCACAGAACTTTCACTTAAAACTTTATAGGCCAGACCTTAGACGCATTCCCAGCTAAAATTTTATTCATAAGGAAGGACTGATATTGTAGGGCACCTCACTGTCTGCCACACTGGCATATCTAATAAGCCACCTCTTTTTATTCCTCTTTCAGCCTATCTTTAAACAGGTATTTAAAAGGTACTTTTCCAAATTCCTTGTGGCTTTTGAAGACTGTGTTTCAATGAACTGGCAGGTCTCTGGTTCTCGTTTTTGGCAAATGTCATGGCCATCAGCACACTTCTCCCTGGGCTCTGGTCCACGGCCTCCAGCTCTGGGGACACAATCTGGTACCGGCTCAGTCTTGCCTCACCTGTGCTTCAGGAGGACTGAAAAGTTGGATGTCCCTCTAGGGAACCTGCCTTCCATGGGAGAAGCTGGGCTCTCCCCAGGTTACCAGTGGGAGCTCTGAATGGAATTAGGGTGTTGGCAGGTAGCCATGTACATGCACATCCAAGGGTTCTCCTCTGTGAAGGTGAAGGTCAATTGAGACTAAAGGCCTCTGGCTGGTCTCCTTGGGCCCAGAACCTGGGCAGTGGATGCAGAAAGCTACCCCCTCTCACCCTGTTCCCGCTCAGGCCAGCAAATGGGGGAAACGCAGAGCTGCTGCATCACCACAACCATGGCGTCGTCTTGCACTGTGGGTGCATGCTCGCACATGTGTGCCTGTCGTTCCAGGAAGATGACATTCCAATTATATTTGCTCGTGATTTAATGAAGAATTAGTGGCATTTTTTCCTGCGTCAGCAGTTACATATACGCAGACATCTCTCTCTTCCCATTGCCCTGCTCATAAAGTGCGACCGTGAAGTGTCCAAGGAACTGTGGTCTGGCCTCTGACCCCCCCGATGCCATCCGCGATGCTCTTCTGTGTGGCCTAGTGACCACCTTTTACGATAGGCTCCTTTCCCGTCGTCCTCCAGGCCCTGGGCTGCAGCCTTCATTCCACTTGCCAGCTCTTCTCATTACGTAGCCTCTCATCTCTCCATCCTGCCTGCAGTCCCCAGCTAGGGAGCTGTTTCTTACATAAAGCTGTTCAGAAAAGGGAAGTGGACACAAAAGAGTACATACTGTATGGTTCCATTTATGTCAAGTTCTAAACAAAAGCGATATAAGAAGTAAAAGTTAAAAAGCGGTTGGAGTCAGGCAGATTGACTGGAGAGGTTGGTGGAAATGTTCTATATTTTCTGAGTGGTTCTTACCAGGTAAAATGCATTCCAGTTGAAAACAAGTAGACCCTGATGTCACCTCTTCCTCCCTCCCCCCCTTTCTATTTTAAAAAGTATTTTTAATGTCATTTCTTTGCTAGGCGGTATGCCCTTAACTTTCTGTCCATTGACAAAGATCCTAACCAGTCATGTCACCCATACCCAGCTCACTTTGCAAAACCACCTTCCCAAAGCCAGAGGTGTGGTCATTAGTAGGCAGCTTCATAGTATAAAACAGCTTTAGAGAACTAAAGAATAGTTCTTCCCCCCTCCGCCCCCAAGCTGACTGGAATCTGTTCTGCCAGGGGAATTTCTTTCTGTGATGAACCTAGTCATTGTGAGACAATGGGGTTTGTCATTTCCCCTTCCAAGAGGAAGTACCTTGATGCATTTGAAAACTTCTCAACATGCTCTGAAGGTATTTTTGGAGCTTAGGGGACATTTGAGGAAGTCATGCAGATTACCTGCGTCAAAGAATACTTGGCATTTATGGCATGCAGGAGTCCGCAGGCAGAAAGATGAGACTCAGCCGTGGAGGTCAGGCAGCTGGCCCACCTGGCTGTACAGATGCAGCAGTGGGGAGCTGTCCTCAGGCCTTACTGCTTTTCTCCTCTGTGGGTGTAGGAGCTGGTCAGACTTACCATCGAGAAACAGGGGCATCCGTCTCCAACCAGCCCAGTGAAACCCAGGTCCCCAGCTTGCAAACCCGATGGGTAAGTGCTGACAAAACCCTCTAGTCACTGTGGTCATGTTGGGTCCACACTCGAGTGGGAGCCGGATCCGGCCACCCATGTCAGGTAGGCTGTTTGAGGCCCACATTCCTCTTTCAATGAGTCTGGTAAGTGCCTGTATTACTTTGAAGTGTGTACAGCTCACACATGCCCTGAAGTATTTCCTGGTCTCCAGGTTCATGGCCAACAGGACTCTTTCTAAGGATAGTGTGTGTGCACCCAGGGCCCACACCTTGTGTTTCCCCACCACCTTCCTTTCCTAGCTGGAAAGAACTTTGAAGTTTTTTGGGGTTTTGGGGATTTGGCTTTATCTTCTACAAGCCCCTAGTACAGACATAAAACAAGTTTGGAGCCTTTTAGACAGCCTTTAGGTCATCTAGTTGAAGGATTCCTTCTAAAGACCAGGAAACTAAGATGCAGAGTCAGGGGACTTGGCTAGGCATCTCTGTTTTATTGGTGATCAAACCAGACTTGCAAGCCCACCTTGACCATGGGGTGTCCCAAGTCATCTCCCTGCCCTTGTCACATCCCAGCCCTCTTTGGACTTGTGTGTGCTCTGTAACCTTCTGTAACCCCAAGTTCTTTGCAATTCTCAGCCAGTCTGAGCTCCCCCTGACAGATCGAGAGATGGAGATTCTGAACAAGACAACCAGCATGTCACAGTCGACTGAACTGCTCCCAGACTCTACTGATGAAGAGGTCGCGCCCCCCAAGCCCCCCTTACCGGGCATTCGAGTGGTTGATAATAGGTAACTTTCTGTTTTTCTAGCACCTTCCTCTATTTATGACCTAATTTCATGAATGGATGGGTAGAGTGAGTTGAAAAGACGGTGCCATTAGGGTAAGAACTTGGAGCCCAGTTCCTTGCTTTTTAGAAACCTTGGAAGTTCCACCTTCCTCAGCCGGGACCCTCTGGAGGATGGGGACACAGCCCCAGCGCCTGCCCTTGCCCACACTCCCAGAACTCCCAACCGCTTGCCTTTTACCAAGCAAAAATTGGTCCAGTTTCTTACGAAGGAACAGAGAGGGTCTTTCTGGTCATAGTTTTCCCAGCAGGTCTGATAGGTTTGTTTTGGCAGAAGAGGGTAGGACAGGAGCGGAAAGTGTGGAGGTGGGCCTGTGTAGTGATGAGTAGTGCTCCCTGTGTCTGTCTGAAGAGTTTTGTTTGGATGGTTTGGTTTGATGGGATTTCTTGATTTGCTTCAGTCCCCCACCAGCACTGCCTCCGAAGAAAAGGCAGTCGGCTCCGTCCCCGACCCGCGTGGCCGTCGTGGCCCCCATGAGTCGAGCCACCAGTGGCTCCAGTTTGCCTGTTGGAATTAATAGGCAGGTAATGCAGCCCATTGGGAAAGGCGAGGAAGGCTCTGGGTTTGGGAATGTGACTCCTTCTATCCCCTTCCTTAGTCACCACACAGGCTCTCTCAGGGTTGAAGCTTCCCTGCTGGACTCAAGAGAAGTCATCCCGTGGGGGTGGGGCAGGGTGGGGCTCCAAAGACCTCTGCACGCAGCCCCAGGGCCCTCTAGCCACACTCTCCAGCATTCCTGGAGGCTTCTTTCTGGAAGCCACAGATAGTGGCGTGGTATTGCTGACATCACAGATGGGCCTTTCCCACCGGTGGCATTTTCTTCTCCAAGTAAACATTCCAGTTCCCTCCCCCCTGCTCTCGGCCATCATTTCTCAGAAGTGACTCGGTTGTTTTTATTTTTCCATGCGAGGATTTTGACGGAGACTGTTATGCCCAGAGGCGCCTTTCGGGAGGCAGCCACTCCTATGGCGGAGAGTCGCCCCGCCTGTCCCCCTGCAGCAGCATCGGCAAGCTCAGCAGGTCGGACGAGCAGCTGTCCTCTCTGGACAGGGACAGCGGGCAGTGCTCCCGGAACACAAGCTGTGAAACACTAGGTGAGCTGCAGGCGTCATCACTTCTGTCTCATCATCTGGTGGCTTCTTTGGGATCAAAGGGTGACTCCAGTCATTCAAAACCTGGGCCTCAGTTTCCTCACCTGCACAGTGAGGATACCGAAGCCTGTCTCTGGAGGAGGTTGGAAGCTGAGATGAAGTAATGATGTGAAACCACAGGGGAGATGCTCCAGTGGTAGCTGCTACTACGGCTATTGTGTCACTGTGTAACTTGACTCCCTTTGCCAGAATTGAGCCATCTGTGCTCAGAGCGGTGAGTGCAGGGAGCCCCTGACAGCTTCTGAGGGAGGAGGAGGCAGCTGAGTGGCACATGCTGCCCCACCCCCACCCCACCCCCGTCATTGCTGAGCGCCTGCGACGTGGGCTGGAGGTGGGGGCTAGTCTGAAAGGCAGTTTGGTGTGAGGCTGAAAGAGCATCAGGCTGCTCGTGTCCATGAACTGAATGTCTCACTTCTGAGGGTTCACCTTCAGAGCATAATTGGAAATTGGTAGCAAGGTTGCTATCCAGGGACATTGATCTCAGCAGTATTAGGACCAGTGATAACTGGAAATATCTGATTACTCAGGGCTAGGAAATCAGGCAAACTATGATACAACCACTTGGTGGAATGATATATAGCTATTAAAAGTCAATTGTGATCTATTAATCAGAGGACAAAATCCTAGACCACTTACATAGTACTTCCTCTGCTCAGTTAACAAATGAAGAATTCTGGGAGGGGAAATAGACTTTTTAAGAAAATACATCAAATTGTAAACAGATTATAGCTAGATTACAGCACTGTGGATGGTTTTTTATATCATTTTTTGCCACATTTTCTACAATGATCATGCATTTCCTTTTTTTTAAATGCTCATCCAAGGATATGTTTATTGATTTGAGGGAGAGGAAAAGAGAGAAACATTAGTCAGTTCCTCCTGTTTGTACCCCGACTAGGGATAGAACCCACAACTTTTTGGTGTACGGATGACGCTCCAAGCACCTGAGCCCCCCGGCCAACACGATTTTCTTTTTCACTAAGAAGTTTTAAAAATATAGTAAAGTGCAAAGAATTAGGATAACAGAGCCACATTCCCGTCTTTTGCAGTTACAAGCAGGGAGGAGAGTGGAGAAGATAAAATAAAGCGTGGGCCTGTCTAGATGGGACGGGAGACACGTTTTTGTCCCGCTGTCGTGAACAGAATTGGGCAAAAGCAGGGGACAGGGTCCTTTCTTTCTGTGGGGTCTGGTGGCTGACGGTGTGTCTTTCCTTTTGTGAACACAGATCATTATGACCCTGACTACGAATTCCTTCAGCAAGACCTCTCGAACGCAGACCAGATACCTCAGCAAGTGGCCTGTAACCTTAGCCCGTTGCCGGAGTCCTTGGGAGAGTCTGGGTCTCCGCTCCTCGGCCATCCTTTCCAGCTGCCTCTTGGCAGCTGCCCCCAGCCAGAGGGGCCCTTAGCCCCAGGGCGGCAGACAGACCTGCCGCCTGCTCTCCCGGAGAAGAAGCGCAGGAGCGCAGCCTCCCAGACCTCGGACAGCTCTGGCTGCAGGGTGTCCTATGAGCGGCACCCCTCCCAATACGACAACATCTCCGAGGACGACCTGCAGAACCCAGCCTTGGCCCAGCCCTCCCCCTTCCCTCTTGCTGCTATCCTCCCCTTCCAGCAAGGAGGCTCCTCAGCCTCTGTCGAATTTGTGGGGGACTTCACTGCTCCTGGACCAGCGGGCGACCCAGAAAGACCACCGCCCCTGCCAGAGAAGAAAAATAAGCACAGTAAGCTTTGCTGAGCCATTGGGATGCACGGGTTATGACCCATGGTGGTGGTGTGTTTTATGTAAGCTTTAGACCAGAATCCAACCAGTGGGCTTGTAAGTTCATAAAGATAGCAGCACAGGTACCCATGGGCACTTCCGGGAGCCTTGTTTTGTCAATACCAGTGATTGTTTTTAAAGCCTGAGAGGCTGACCACTCCTTATGGCCTTGGTAAAATCTCAGCCTGGTCTCCACAGATCCCGGGGTTTGGCCTCTTGTAGATGGCAGCCAGTTGACCTTCTGGCCTGAGCACATGGTGACAGAGAAACAAGTGTCGTGGCATTCAGGGCACCATTATGGCAAGATGTGGGTGAAGTAGGAAGGACGTGTGAGTTCCCGGAAAGGTCCCCAACCCCAGAGGGGCTCTCGGGGGCCCTCGAGGTGTGCCAGGAGGCTGCCCGGAGATCCTCGGCACCCTCATCTTCCCAGGCACCGAAATGTCACATGATGATGGGGAATCTGAAATGGTCTGAGGAATGCCTCTTGGACTAGTTGTTATATTGTGTGATGTCACTGGGGCCAGGGATGGAACTGAGATTTTGGTCGTATTTTGAATATTTCCAACTGTGTATTTGCCGTCAAACTCCTAAGTAGAATTCTGCTGGACATTGTTTTTTCTGCTGGCTCCCCACCTGCTCCACGTTGCCTCTCTCTGACCCCTTCCCACTTCGCAGGCATGGCTCTACTTCGTTTTCCTTTGGCAGCCTGCTGTCACCATTTAGATATGTGTGTGGCCACGTCAGCCCCACAGCCATGGTTCTCTGGCCTCAGGTGAAGCATCCAGCAGACAGCTTCTGCATTCCAAGTTCCCCAAGGAGAGCATTGATTGGCTCTGCCTAGGGTGGGCCCCCCTCAAACAAGAGGAGACCTGGCCAGGTTAGCCACAGTGGGATTGACCCAGGGGCCATCTAGGTGGGCTGTGGAAGGAGGCAGCCACCAAGGATGGAGTATGTTCCCCAGCTTGTGTAATAGCCTGAGTGGTATGGTTCCCTGGCTGGAGGGAGAGAGCTGTCTCTGTAAGGCTAGTGATGTCATGTAAGTTGGCTCATTAGAAAGCAGGGCACTCGGGAGGGAGCTGCAAATGGCAACACCAGGAGCATGTCCTCCTGCACCTTCCTCTGCATGGCAAGTGTTTCAGAGCCATGGGCCTCCCCACCCCAGACTTGAGCAGCATATTGTTTTTTGGGCTCACACCCTCCCCTCCCCCAGAGCTCAGGGCAGGATTGCATCTGTGCAAACCACAAACCAAGGAGCCAGGACCACCGCTTCTGGCTTCTGGCTTCAGGACAGGTGTGGGTGGCAGTCCTGCAGGGCTGGAGAGAAGGGAAAGGAAGGGAGAGGTAGCCGTTGTTTCCTTAGAATAAGCAAATCTCCAGCGGGGGAGATGGTTTACATTAACTTGGGCTGCCTTTGTCTCCATCCATCAACACCTGTAGTGCTTGTGCCTGCAAGCCTTTCAAACCTGCTGAGAGCGCGGGGTGTTGTATGCCCTGGGCCAAAGCTTCACACGCCCTGCATACTGGTCCTTACTGCTCCCTGGCTGGAGGGTGTCACTAGCTCCTGTTTTATAGAAAAAGCAACTAGAGCTCAAAGGAACTGAGCCTTGCCCAAGATCAAGAGCTGGGCTGCAGAGCAGGCCTGTGTCCCCATCTCAGTGCCCTGCCTCCCACACTGAGTAGGAAGGGAGTGCCCCTCCTCGCTGAGACCCTGTCCAGGTGGTGAGCCCATGCAGCAGGTAGTCTTTTCTGTGCCCTGTGAAAGGACCCCAAATGTAACACTCTGAGGCTTGGTCCTAACCTGGGGCTAATGCTTCACTTCCCGAGGGGATCCTTGGCAAGCTCCAGCCTGTGACCCTGTGGAAACTCCTCGCAGTTGCTGAGGGAGAGAAGGAAACGGTTGTCCTTAAGTTTGTCACGCAAGAGCCACCCACGCGCAGCGTGGTGTCATAGCCTCATTCTTCAGGGACTGATGCCCTGAGGGTCCCTAGCCCCTCTGGGTGAGGTCAGCCCCACAAGGCCTTTGTGTCAGACAAGCTTCCCATCCTGTCTGCCCACAGTCGCGGGTGCCTCCGGAGCGCCAGCCTGCCCGGCTTCCCAGGAAAGCCGGCTACTCTGTCTTGGCACCCTTCCACCAAGCCGCCTTTGAAACAGACTGGCCCAGCTCGTTTCTAGAAAGCTAGGGACATTAGCAGGTCTCTGTGCTCGGTTAGCAGGTCTTGACCAGGACTCCACAGTAGGAGGTCGCGTCTTACTGAAACGGCCCTTGTTGTCAGGCGAAGGTGGGGTGGTCAGTCTTCTTAGGGAGCAGTGAGCAGGAGTTTGGGAACACCTTCATAGACCCCAGTGGCGCCAGCAGTGTTATGGAACAGGCATGGTGGGCTTGAGGGGACTGTGAGCGCCACTCAGCAGCAGCCTCAGCCAATCTTACCAGGGGGCAGGGGGCATCTGTGCCTGCCCACCTTTTACAGCCAAGCTTCATTCCATGCTTGTTGGAGCCAAGGCATTCTTATTGATCCTTTTGATAAAGAGGGTGACTTTGAGCCCCCTCCTTCAGTGATGGGTGCCAGAGATACAGCCTGGAGAGGCATTTCCTGTCTACTGACCCCAGGTGACACAGAGAAGAGCAAGGTCATCTTGCTGCCTTTGTAACTGCTTTCCTCAGCCCAGTGCCTCTGTCCTTTCATTTGCTGACTGGTTTGGGTCTCTGATTAAGCCCCCAACTTTATAGTTGTTTGAAAATACAAAATTAAGCCCTGCAGAATTGTCCTTGCCACTTCTTGGTATCTGAATCTTAGCTCCACCCAGCAGGTACTCATGGCACTTGTGCCATGACCCATTGGGAAACCATCCACTCAGGATGGATCTCTGCCACCCCTGTGCCTACCACACATGCACTTAGGTTTTTGTGGGTTTTTAAAAAATATATCTTTATTGATTTCAGAGAGAGGAAAGGAGAGGGAGAGAGAGAGGTAGAAACATCAATGATGAGAGAGTCATTGATTGAGCCCGCAACCCGGGCATGTGCCCTGACCGGAAATCGAACCCCGATCGCCTGGATCCCAGGTAGACGCTCAACCACTGAGCCACGCCCTGCCGGGCGCACTTAGGTTTTTTGCTTCAAAACCCGGGGCCCTTTTCTTTCCAGCTCTCACCGTCACTGTAACTCCCCCATAGTGTGTGTAGCAGCTCTGCAGGTGAATTTATTAGCTCGTTCCTAACTCGGGCAAGGGGGCATAACAGTGCCTCTCCCTCCAGATGTTGGTGCACACGTGTGTAGGGATATTTCAACACCGGGCGCTTCCTCAGCTACCTGGACAAGGGGAAAGGTGCTGCAGGACTTCAAGCGTGCCTTGACCTAGACTTTGTCGTGGGTATGTCAAGTGCAGGACCCAATTCAGAGGTGGATGTGGATGGGAGCAAGGGCTTCTCCTCCAACCCAGCCTTCACAGCTTCATGAGTACGCCAGGTGTCACAGTTGCTTCTCCCAGAACCCTCTGGAGTCTTCAGAAGGGCCCAGCTCTGTAGGTGGGGTTCAGATCACTAACCACGAGTCAGGAATACAGTGTACACAGGTATCCCTCGTGAATCCTGAGGGCTCCGCACCTGCCTCCAGAAAAGGTGCCTACGAGGAAGAGGTCACTGAGACATGGCAGCCGAGGTCTCCGCTGTTGTCTGCTTGGAGATCACTTTGTGGGTGCTGCCACACTGTGCAGGCAAGAGAGCCTGTACCTGGATGCAGGCAGCTCCACCAAGAGGCAGCAGCGTGGCATTGGATGGCAGCGGTGGCAAGGGCTGGGGTTTCCCAGAGGATTTTTGGGGGTGGGAGGAACATGTATCTGACCCTGAACCCTTCCCTACCTGTACCCTTCCGAGGACGCTCTCTAGCCTCGCAGCGGGAGGAAGGATGGCGATGCTGTATTTCCTACACACCCAGTGGGTGCTCTACAGGCCCCCACAGCTTAGCCTGGGAGGTGCTGAGGTGCATATGTTCCGTTTGTGCCTTTATTCTTCAAATACTTGCAGACTCCTACTGTGTGTCAGCCACTAATGATACAGTAGTGGACAGGACGTTGTGTCCCTGCCCTCCTGCAGCTCCGACTCGAGTGAGAGGCAGTAAATCCAGTGGCACCTGCTTTGAAAATATACCCTGAACCACATCTCTCTCAGCACCTCCACCCCCCACTGGCACCTTTCACCTGAGCAGCCTCAGCAGCCCCAGATGGTCTTCATAAGACAAAGCAGCTACAGTCACACCCTGTGGACCCTCTGTGGGTTCCTGCCCGTTGACACAGCCCTGCCCGACCTGGTGATCAGCTCATCTCCCTCACTGTCCTCTGGACAGTATGCTTTGCTCGCCTGGAATCCTGGCCTCTCGGGCTTCTGCCTGGCCTGTAGCCTCCATGGGAAGGGCTCCTCACCATCCTCACATAGCTCATCCACACTCTAGACAAGCACCCACTGCCACCTACTGCTGTTGTCCACGTCTGCTGTCTTCTGGAGTGAGAGTGAGCCCCTGTGGGCAGAGGATTTGTTTTGCTAGCTTCTCTGAAACCCCAGCACCTCGGTCAGTGCCTAACACATAGTAGGTGCTCAATAAAAACCTGGCGAATGAGAAAAGACAAGGTGGGGCTCCTGTGTGTGTGAGGCTGCAGAAAGTTGCATTAAGGCGGAGCCTGAGCCACAAAGGAGGGTAAGAGTCAGCTCAGAGGGTGGGGGAAGCACAATGGGAACAGCCATGCACACAGCCATGAGGGTGTTCCTGGAACTGCAAGAAGACAGCAGAGCTAGGCTGAGGGTGGACAGCTGTGCTGCCCCATGAGCCCCACACAGTCTGTGCCCCTCGAGTGCCTAGAAACCCCAAGGGCTTTGCAGCAAGGGAGCCAAGTGCCCCAATGTGCTTTTAGAAATAGACTATTTCTTACAGTGGGTCCAGGTTCACAGCAGCCCTGAGCGGAAATTACAGAGTTCCCATATATTCCTGCCCTCCCCCCCCATGCTCAGCCTGTCTGCTGTCACCTCTCCACCAGGACGGCCCTTAGGTGAACCTGCACTGACATGTCATTGTCGCCCAGACCCACGGCTACAGGGCTCCCTCTTGGTGTTGGATACGTGTGCCCACCATTGTAGTGTCCCACAGAGTGGTCTCTGCCCTGGCTGCTAGGAGATGGGGGGTCCTCCCACAGATCGGTCCCCAGTGACAGAACCAGGGGCTGCCCCACTCTCTGTCCCACAGTGCTGGCGTACATGCAGCTGCTCGAGGACTACTCAGAGCCGCAGCCGTCCGTGTTCTACCAGATGCCGCAGAATGAGCACGTCTACCAGCAGAAGAACAAGCTCCTCATGGAGGTGTATGGCTTCAACGACTCCTTCAGCAGCACTGAGGGCATGCAGGAGCTGGCGCCGCCCCCCGCCCTGCCTCCCAAGCAGCGGCAGCTGGTAAGCGGCCCCTCCTTGGTCCTCTCTCTGTTGCTGCCACAGTGACCAGAGCTTCCATCCCGATAGGCCTCTAGGAACAAGAACCTGCTCCTCGGGGGCAGGCTTAACCCACTCTCCTTCCAGGCTGGGGCCCTGGGCTGGTGCGGGATGCCCCATCTCCAACGTGGGGCTCTCACATCCCCTGAGCAGCTCTAGTGCAGCCTGTCTCCTGCTCTGCCATCTCCCCACCCTGGGGAGGGGGTGCCGATCTTTCCCAAGCAGCCCGTGCAGCTGGGACTGGCTTATACCCAGAATACTGGCTTTCTTTACTGACAGCCTCTTGCATTTTTTTCTCTCTTCTTTGGCTCCAATATAGACCTCCCAGAAAGAAGGGACTCAATCAGCGCACAGGGCAGGGTCTGTGGAGGGCCATCTGTGGACTATTTTTTTTACACAATGGGCCTAACTATACAGAGTGGCATACTCCCACCCTGGCCAAGGATGCCCAGTGTAAACAAGCTCTACTGAAGCAGGGTGGCTTTAAACAGCCATGCTGTGCGTCAGGCATAGCAGCCGCCTCTAAGGAGCACCCGGGTAAGGGCCCCACGGAGGTCATGAAGCTTGGCCTGCACGGGACAGGCTGTCCTGGGAGGCCCTGGGCCAGGCAGGAGAGCGCGTCGTGCCTGCCGCGCGCCTCCAAACCTGTTTCTCTCTGCTGCCAGTGTGTTAGCCAGGTGCGCTCTGGCCAGGTGTTAGAACCCAAGCATCCCGCCCAGCCATGCTGTTCAGGAAGAACTCACCCCACGCGGGGTTCTTGTCTTTTTCAGAGCTGCATCTGCTGTTTTGCCCATATGCCAGCCAGTGTGGCTAGCTGGGCTATCCTTTATCAACCGCAAGAGACCTGAAGGTGCTGCCCTGACTTTTCTGGGAGGCATCTGCCAACTGTAGGACAGAGGTCCCGGGGTTACTCCTTGCAGCCACCTGGGGCTTGGCAGTTCTATGCTTGGGGCTTGAGCCCATACCCAGCCCTAGAAGTCCCCGAGCCTTCCTACATTCAGTGGGCTCAGGGGCGGACCAGACAGAACCACAGCTAGCCTTTTGGGAGACAGCATTTCTAGTAGAGAAAAGGCCAAGCTCAGAGTTTGGAGTCCTGAGTTCCAGTCCTGCTACTAACTAGTCATGTCTCACAAGTTGTGCTCAGAGTCTCAGTTCTTCACTGTCCTGCCCACCGCTTGAATGCCTGGATATGGATGTAAATTACTCTGAAAATGTCTGAGAAAGGGATTTTTCTCCACAGAAACTAAATGCCTTCCCCGGGGACCCACCACTTCCAGTAGACACAATTTGTGTGAGGTTCAGATCTACCGTAAGGAAGTGAAGGAGGGTGCCCGCCTGCCCAGGTAGCCTTGGCGAGTGCTTCTGATCCCTGCGCTGAGCCAGGACGTCCGAGCAGTTAGGTCGCTGCCAACTTAGCCTTTGTGCATACGTGCCTGACCGTTCTCTGCTTTCTCCCTCCTTCCCGCCTTCTCTCACCCTCTGTCCAGCAGGCCTCTTACGCTGCTTCTTCCTTCTCCTCTGTCTCCTACTGTGTCCAGCAAACTAAAGTGGCCTTCACCCCCGAGGACAGCAGTGCCACTCAGGGCATCAGTGTGTCCGTCTCTAACTCCTTTCTCAGCCGGCACGGCAACTTATCTGTGCCCTCGGTGAGTCGCTCCCTGCCGCTCTTTACTTGGAAACTGGTTAATGTGACTTTACATTTGTAGCCTGTGCCTCCCAATGTGTATGCTGCTGCCCATCGCTGACTTTGCCCTTCTGCAGATCCCTGTACCAGAGGGGACAGGGTATGCGGGGCGGCTGTCTGTGCTGGAGGACAGTGTGAAGCGGTCGGGATGGGGAAGTGGTAGCGGCCACACTTGCGGCATTATCGCTCAGGCATAGACTGCAGAGATGTTTCAGCCTCTTTATTGTAATCTCCCCTTAGGCCCACCCTTCACGAGCTCTATGGTAAAAGGAAATATTCCTCACAAAGGAAGCAGAGCCAAGGAGAGCAGCTCTCCTAGGGCATGAGAGAGTTTGAGTTGGAGACTGTATCAGTTAGCTTTTGCTGTGTAACAAACCACCCCAAAACTTAGTGGCTTCAAGCAACAGTAACCATTTCTCATTGCTTAGGACACAGGCCAGTAGCATGACGGTGCTGATCTGGCCCAGGCTGACTTTGGCTGGACTTGCTAACATCCCTGGAGCCTCAGCCGGGACAGCTGGGCTGATCTGGCCGCAGTCCACATGATCCACCAGTCTCCAGCAGGCCAGCCTGGGCTTGTTCACAGGGCAGCTGGCAGGGTTCCCAGGAAACAAATGGAAGCGTGCAAGGTATCTTAAGACCTAGCTCAGAACTGGCACTCAGTCACTTCCATTGCGTTCTCTGTTCAGTCACGAGGCCGGCCGCCCAGGTTCCAGGAATGGGGAAGTAGGTCTGCCTCTCAGTGGGAGCAGCTGGCAGAGGGAATGTTTGCAGACATTTTTGTAAATAGCACCCTCCTGAAACTTAGGGGACACTAGCTCTTTAGGAGGCACAGTGTCTTTAGGAGGCACAGTGTTGGTCTGTTGTCTTTCGCTGGAATCTGCATCTGTCCACAAACCTAAGCAGCCACTGGAAGTTCCCCTTAATCCATCCAGGTGAAGAACTCGGGAAAGGAGCCACACCTGGGCTGCACTGCAGCCAGCTGTCCTTATGCACCATTCATTCGCCCTCCCAGGCCATCTCCTTCCTTTAGGATTGTACTTTTACCTGCCTCTGATTTTGTGGACGTGAGGGTTAAGTAAAACCCTGGGAAACTGCCAGGCACACGGTGAGCTTAGAAAAATTCCTACTAGTGCTCCTGCTCTTAGAGTTCTGGAGTCCGGTCTTGGTTCTGTTCTGATTCTGTATGTGAGAGCTTGGGCAAATGGCTTACCCTGCTTGGACCTCCCTCTCCTTCTAAAGCTATGTGGTTGCCCCGGTGACTTTCAGAGGCCTCTCCAAGCCTGGGGTCCCAGTGTGGTATTTCCCACGCTCCACCTCGGAACCATCAGTGCCCAAGTGAAGACGGCCCTACCTGTTGTGGGGACCTTGGGGTGTATTCTCCCTCTGGGTGCCGGGGCCCAGCTCCGCAGAGCCCTCTGCACCCCTACACTTGCCAAAGAGAGGCTGAACGCCCCCTCCCCCCCCTCCCGGCCCCGCCCTGTGCACAGATGCCCTCTGTTTCCTCAGCAGGCTCTTGCTGGCAGACTCCTTTCACAAAGCGTGCAAACTTGGCCTTCAGACAATCCCAGCTCTTGACTATTTTTCCCTCTGTGAACAGAAAGTGAGTGTGAATTATCTTAAGAGTATCTACAATATCCCTTTTGAGCAGTTTGGGGTTACAGGACTGTCAATGAACTGGACTGTTTGCTACAGAATGAAAGAAAACATGAGGGCGTCTTAATTAAGTTTGGGTATGAAGGAGGCTAAGGCATCTAGCATCAGGAATATACTAGGCGTTCAGCACCAGCTCCACAAAGGAGCCCAATGAGATGAGCTAATGAAGGTGTTTCTTTCGCGGAAAGGAAGGCCACCCCACGCCAGGCTCGGGAGGCGTTTGTAGTGGCCTGAATGTTTGGAACATTGGACAGCTGATTCAGTGTAATGCCAACACACTTTTCACGTGACCTCTGCTCACACTCTAAGATGTGCCCCTAATAGCCCTCAGCGTTGCCCTCAGAGCAATCCTTTATTTCTGAATTTCTTCATTTCCTGGTTCTGGGGCCTGTCATCAGTCCAGCGTGGAACTCCACAGGGTGCCACTGAGAATATAGCATTGTCATAGCTAAAGGCAGCTCACACTGTCCTTGGCCCAGTGACCTCCCATTTCTACCAGAAGCTTCTAACCATTGAAAACCACCTTGCCAGGGGAATTTGTAGAACAGTAAACCTGCATTGACCAATTCAACTGGAAGTGGGCACTGGAAAGGCATTCCTGTTCACTCTCCCAGGACCCAGCAAGCACGGGCGTGGGTCGGGCAGCAAGAAGGGCCCAGAGCTGGGAGCCCGTCATCCTGAGAGGGAAACATCATTAGGCAGAATGAGACAAGCATAGGGGACCCTGAGGCTGGGAGTGAGTAACCCCGTGAGAGGTCAGGTAGTAGCCAGGGCTTGAAGGACGGTTAGGATTTCAGTCAAGGTCGGGGCAAACAAGTCCCAGATGTTCCCCGAGGTACCTGCCTGAGCATGGGGCTAGAGAGCCTGGCATACATTCTGGAAGGTACCTTGAGTGTGAGCACTCAAGGATTGAGATCAGAGGACAGCTGCTAAAGGGTAGTGACAACAGCCAGCCCTTCCACATGTCTTCAGCCATCCCTACACCTTCACAGAAACCGGCTGCTTCCTGAGCTGCTCTCTCCTTACAAGGCCTCAGGCACTCACGGCTCCCCACCGCCCGCCCTTGTCCCCCACGCCTTTCCACTCCTATTCCTGGCACTGCCCTGTCTCCTCTTGACATCTTCCACTGGGTCTGCCTGGCCGTCTCATTCCATGGAAATGTGAGCCCCCGAGGCCACAGACGTCCTTTCCTCCCTGGCATGTGCCGTCATCCTGAGAGGCCCAAGCACCTGCACAGACCAGCACCTGCCCTGACCCGTGGTGTCTGGACATCAAGGGTAGTCTGATAGAACGAGGTGTTGGGGAAGTGATAAGTGATTGTGAGGCAGGAAAGAGGTGGAAAGCTGGGTGTAGCCTCCCAGGCCGGGCCAGAAGGCAGCTCCATTGTCCTGCTCTTCTGATGCTACAGGGCTTGGTGTGTCTGCCTCCTGGGGGCACTGGAAAGTGTTTGAGTGATGAGTCCTCCTCAAACAGCTCTCTGACAGGTGCTGGGGTCACTTTTCCTGGGCCTGGACTTTCCCTTGGTTGCTTGTACCCCGGGCTGCTTGCTATGTGGTCCACGGAGCCCAGTGTCTCCACTCTACTCCATCTCTGGTCCCTCTAGCATCAGCCCTTCCCCTCCACATGGAATTCCCATGTTCCATCTCCTTCCCTGCTTGCATTTTCTCTCATTCTGAACCCAGCGGTACCAATCGTAAAAATTGAATTGAGTCTGTATGTTCATTTTACTCTTGACCAGGGAATGACTGGGACTCTCAGGAACCGTTAGGGTTGCCGGTCCTTTTGGGTATCACAGTGTCGATGTTAGAAAACCACCTTCCTTTATCCCCAGACTCCTTTCTGGGGTACCTTTTTTTTGCTCACTGCAAGTTGCAGACATTTACGATCAGCAGATCTGTCCAGGTGCTGGAAGTCTGCGGAAGTGTTTCTTAACCCTCTTGGCTCCCCGAATGAGTCTGATGATAAAACTGCTACGAGACTCAGGTTTTGAGTAGAACTTGAGAAATACCCATAACTCATTTGTTTTAAAATTTAGGGCAAGGAAGTCAAATATGTATCATCTTGAGGACTTGATTGAAGGGGGGTCTGCAGAGCAGCTGGTATCCCACTCTGAGCAAACCGTGTTGCTCTGAGATGTGGGACCCAGGTTTCCCACATCACCACATGTGCCCTCAACAGAAGGCCTGCGTGTCAGGGATTCTGGGGGTGTCTGCTGAGCTGTCCCCTCACTGCCCCTCCCCCTCAGTCCCTGAGACACACGGCTCCTGAGGTTCCCCTAGTGCACCTGTCACTCACTCTGTCACTCACTCGCTCCTCACCTGGTCGCAGCCAGCTTGAGTATAGTGCAGCAGCCACCTGGAGACCTGGGCACTCTAGCTGGTCTAAAGGTCACACAGGAAAGGGGCGGAGGCAGGAGGTGGAGAAGAAAGGAGAGACTCTGGAGGGGGGTAAGGAGGAACGGCAGGCAGAAAGTGGACCAGAGTCCCAAGGGCACTTGGGCTGCTTGACACAGCACGTGTCTGTGTCCATTATAGGAAAAAATAAGTTCCCGCCTTCCTGCCTCTGTCCCTTGTTTCTTCCTGATGTCTTCACTGGCTCCCTGCTCAGGTTAGAGCTCACTAATTTGGAGAGGAGGGGAGGGAGGGTGCAGGGGTAGCCCTGGTTGCCAGAGGTGGGAAGGGTTTCTCTGAGCCTCACCTCTCCTGGCTGGGCTGCTCCATTGGGCCTGCCTGCCTGCCTGGTCAGCTCAGGAAAATGGCTGGGAGCGTCTCTGAGGGCCCCTGCAGCCCTGCCAATGCTCCTCCTGGCCCAGCCATGGCTTGAGTGTCATGTGGGTGTTTCCAATTATTTGGAGTCCTAGACTCTCAGACTCTGTCCCATTCTTGGGGGCCTCACCAGAGTGTGGTTTCCACGTGCAAGGGCAGGTGTCTTCTCACTGGACTTGGGGCTCCCTGCAAGGAACCTTTCCCTGTCCTCTTAACGTTACAGGCACTTAGTGGATGTCATTTGCTCTTACCCGGCCAGACCCTCTGCTCTCCATCCTATTTATGTGAACAGCCCACCATCCACTGAGTTGCCCAAGTAAGGGACGAGGTGTCATTTTGTCTGTTCCCCCCTGCCCCCCCCCACACCATGTTTCCACAGGCACACACCCTGCTGCACTTCCCCAGACATGCATGGCCACTCCCTCCTGCCCCCGGCGTGGGCATGTGGCCTCACTGGCCTTCCTGCCGCCACGGGCAGGTTCCCTCCTTCCCCTTCTAAGTGCTTCAGTCGGAGGCAGGCCCAGTGTTTCCCTCAGTCTTC